GTGCATTCTCAATTGAAACAACGATGGCTGTGCAAGAAAGCTTTCAAGCTCAATCAACTGATATCTACATCACTACACAACCAAAATGTGGTACAACATGGATTAAGGCCCTCGTGTTTGCTATCGTGAATAGAACAAAGTATAAAAACATCAACCCGTCAACTCACCCTCTAAACATTTATAACCCCCACAAATGCGTGCCTTTCCTTGAGACCGAAATCGTTAGAAAAGTTCCTACTTATGGCCATGCAGATTCACCACGTCTCTTCGCTAGCCATATACCTTACAACGCATTACCTAAATCCATTCTTGATTCTGGTTGTCGATTAGTTTACATGTGTAGGAACCCTAAGGATGTTTTGGTCTCTTGGTTTCACTTTGAAAACAAGTTGAAAGATAGGTATCGTACCCAAATGACCATTGGTGAGATGCTTGATGTGTATGTTAAAGGTTTTACACCATATGGACCTTACTGGGATCATGTGAAAGAGTACCATAAGGCTAGTTCTGAAGATCCGACAAAGGTTCTATTTTTAACATATGAGGACATGAAAGTAGATACTGCAAGTAAACTGAAACGTTTGGCGGAGTTCTTGGGCTTTCCTTTCACGGAGGAGGAAGTGGCCAATGGTGTGGTGGATGAGATCGTGATGCTATGTAGTTTTGAAAATTTAAAGGATGTTAATAAGAATGGGGATTTTCGTAAGGGTATCCCTAATGGCAGTTTCTTTAGGGAAGGGAAGGTTGGAGGATGGAGGAATTATCTTACAAATGAAATGACCCAGATTTTGGATGACATTACGATGGAAAAGTTTCAAGGTTTGGATATCTCATTCTAATAAGGTGCATGTGATGATAAATACGTATGCAATACCGATCATCATGATCTACTTTTTTTAATTGAATGTTAAACACTAAGTGTGTTTTAGTGATTGGCTTGAATAAATCTTATTGTGTAAAAGATATTGTATCTTATAAATGAATGAATTGAGTTAGTGTAATTTTCAAATAATGAACTTCTTTTGTACATGCATGAGAGGGTGTGATTATGTGATTTTTTTGATAGTTTTTTTAACGGAAAAATAAATAAATAAATAAAGATATATACATATATATATATATATATATATATATATATATATATATATATATATATATATATATATATATATATATCATCTGGGGTTGAACCCATGACATCCTAATTAAAAGTTAAATTAGTATTTTTTTTAGAAGGAAAAATCATCCATCCAAAACAATTACTTTTAATAGCCTTCTATCTCCATTCCCAAATTTTATTCAATCTTAGTACCATCTATACAATTGGGCATTGTTTTCATATGTCTACAAAACCGAGAGTCCGACTTAATAACATACCACAACTTCATCAAGCCACATTATACACTTGCCAAAAAAAGAAAATTGCATCGATAGAGTGTCAAATACAACAATTAACAACCACTTTACGCCTTGTTACTTAGTTCTACTTAAGGAGGGATATGGATGGAAATTGAGAGAAAATGAGGGATATTGAAGGAAAATCGTGTTCCCGAATTTCATTAATGGAAGAAAAGTGAGGGAAAAGAAATGATTTTGAATCCATATTTTCCTTCCAAATTTTCCACCAAAATTGAGTAGATTTGGGAAGAAAGTGAGGGAAAGTAAAATCTTTAAGTTTATTTTCTTTTCCCTCCTAACTTTGGAACACAAAAACTTAAAATTTTCCTCTCATTTCCTCTGAACTCTGGAACACGGAATAAATAAAATTTTCTTTCCCCTCCGTTTCTTTCTGCCAATATTTTTCTTCCCTTTCCTTATTGAATTTAAAAAAAAAAAAACTCGGGAACAAGGAATAATCTAACTAAGTACATGAAAGAACCAAACACAAAAATACACACACACATCACCTACATAAGGTATCCTGCACTACCCGAAAAGAATTACCCGCTCAAGAATAATCTCATTACACAACAAAACTTGTAATCCCAAAGTGATGAGAGAAAAAAACACACACATCAAAGTCAAACAATCCAAATGTTATGTAGAGATTAAACAACAAATTCACGTCAAAAAATACACACACTAAAGCACACAACCTGACTAGCCTAGTAGTAGAGTTACATTTACATGCTATAAGTAATCGTAGGAGAGGGTCTCAAAATACATCAATTTATGTTATAAATTCAAGCCTTGTTCATCATCCAACAAAATAATCCAAGTTGAACATCTACTACCACTTTAACTATATTAATCATTATCATTCTAAAATTAGTATCACTTCTAATTTCCCACCAGAGCCAATAAGTACCTATTAACGCCAATAAGTACCTACTAACATTGCAAGGAATTTGGCTACTTTGGGCCTGTTCGTCAAGCAACACATGAGTCCAAACTTAAGAAGAGAAGGAGAAATTAAAGAAAAATCGATTAAGAGAAACTATGGAATTACAGAATATGAATGTGCAAGACTGGACCAGATTCCTTCAAGTGCTAGAATTGAAAAAAGAGGCATACAGTTAAGAGAAAACTTCCATATGAAACGAGTTATCTTTTCAACAGAAAGATCCAAACGACAAACGAGCAATGATCGATTGGAGAAATCGAGTCAACTAAGCAACCTTTGCTTTGATACCATGACAAAATTCTAAACACGATTTCCCAACATGTTCAGATTGATTTCAAACCAAACCGAAACATTTACATGTACAAATACATCAAAAATCTCACTACATAATTCATATTCTACTCTCAACAAGAATCACACTGATATGAATAGATTACAACCAAAGAATACGAAACCCTAAAAAGTGAAACCTTAATCTCCTAAGAACTATGAATGAGAGAAAATACAAAGGAATTAAATATCTAGCTGAATAATAATGTAAACAATAACCAACCCAACATTATATACATCTGGTAATAATGACTCGAAAACCCGAATATAAAATCAAACGTAACTAATCAATGCACCCTTCAACTTCTGCATATATGTTCCTACAAACTGAACTAAACAAACTAATAATAGACAGAATACAAAATATTAGTTTGTAAAATATTTTTTATCATTTCAACACCCCCGGTCAAACCAATCATTTGACCACATACTTAACAGGGAAAGGATAAACCAATCATATTTTTCCACACAAGTTATTATGTTGAAATGAACCAAGAGACTTCATCAAAATATCAACAATTTGTTTAGCTGCCCAAATTTAACAAGATTAACGATACCATTTATAACTTTTTTCCTAATAAAATGAACGTTTATTTCAAAATGATTGTTTATATCATGAAATATTGGGTTTAAAGCCAACTTATTTGTAGAATCTTTATCACAAAAAAGGTTAATATTAGAAAACTTTAAATTGTAACATCTTGTTTTTTAGGTATTCCTTTTATGCCTTTGGTATGTAATTTAATTGCGATTTGGTCCCTTGTAGTATTTTTAGATGAAGTGTGTTTTCATCACGTATGTTGGGCATAGTTCTCGTACGCTGAGCATACGTGGCCTGGACAAAAACCCTAATATTTAGGGTTTGTGCACAATTTAAAGACTTTATAGACTCAAAACCCTTTCTTTCATTAGCCTACACCCGTCACATGGACCCTTGCAAACCCAAATCCATTTTAGAGCATATTTGAGTCTTGAGTGTGTATTTTGGTAATCTTGAAGGAAGAACTACAAAGAGGAGATCATCTTAGAAGAGTGAAGCACTTTGGATCCTGGAGCACATAACCATTTCACACCGCTTGGAGGTAAAAAGCTCCATGCATTGACTAGGATGTCTTAATGAGTTTAGGAGTTAGGGTTTTTGATATTGAGCACTTAATAGACATGCAAGATCATAAAGTTGGAAACTTTCTGATTCAGGATATCATTTGAGGACCAAATGTGGATTTTGGACGAAAAGGCTTAAGCAATTAAGCTCTCATTAGAAAGGAAGGGTGGCAAACACGTACGTCGGATGTACCAAATGGTATGTTGCACGTACGTGTCAGCTCCCCGATTTTTGGTCAATACGTAGTACGTTGTGTGTATGAGTTGAGTATGCCTAACATACTTAACTAAGTTGAGCCGGTTGACTTTTGAATTTTAACAAGATTTGACTAAGTTTGACCTAGGGGTATTTTGGGTATTTTGAGTTGTAATCTAAAGGTGCGTTTAGTATAGAGAAATGGAATTGCTGTAGAGAACGGAAATGCAGAGAAAGATAATTAAGCAGGAGAAAGAGTATTGACTCCCCTTTTTGGTAGATCTGAGAATCCACTAGAGAAATGTTTTTGAGAATCATTTCTCATGTTTGGTTGTATTAACCAATGAAATGGAAATGAGTTTTTTTTACCTTGTTTATTCATTATCAAATAATATTTTTATAAAAAATCATTATAGGTACATCTTAATTAGTCAAAATATGCATCATTTTATGATTTTAATTTTTTTATTGTAATATTGATTATTACTAAATAATTTATTTTTTTTATCAATTAGTATTATTTTTTATACATCTTGTATTGGAAAACATATTTCTAATATAAAAGAATAACTTACAAATAGATTTTTAAAGAAATATGAAAATCATAGTATTCAAAAAACTATGTCGAGTGTAGGATATATGCAAAAGGTATAATTCAATATACCTAACAACTAAAAAAGCATAAGTATGTCTAATACAGACTGCGAAAAAAGTCAACTTCAATATTCGTAAAAACTAAAAAAGACATAACTTAAAATAACCTAATCATTATATTGAGCCATCCCCAATCATTTTCATCTAACAAATCTTTTCTTCTTCTGCCATCTTAAAAAAATACCTTTCTATATTGTATATTGTCAATCGCCTTAATTCACTGTTTGACATTGATATTTAGCATGGGTTGTATATCTTCGATACCTTTATCTATCATATCACATGCTTCCTTATTTTCTTGCCTTCCTATATTGTACATTGTTTCATTAAGTTTTTCACCAACCTCCTTGAAAGTATCTTTCATTCTTTTCGCTATTCCTTATAAGAGCTCTCTGTGTCATCCGTTGGAGGCCTTTTGCGTTTACTATTGATACGAGTAGTTTGTTGCGTCTCTTTACGAATCTCTTCCAACCCTTCCACATCAGCAGGTGAGTTTCTTTGTGTCTCTTCAATCATATTTTCACCAAGATTAGTAGCTCCATGACCAGTTGCTTTATCCTTCCCGAAGATTTTACATAGGCTATCAAATTGGGGAAGTGGTCTATTGCGAAAACATGAAGCATCTTAATGACTCTACAAGAATGACACAAAATTAATTGGTTACTGTTCATTTACAATATGTTTTAATGATGCTAAAATAATACAAACATAACATTATAGTACCTTTGTCTACTTATCCCAAACTTCAGCATTGTTAATAACACAACATTCATCCGTATCCCAGTCGAATCCACTCGTATTTATTCCATATACCATGTCATGCACAATGTTGAAATGGTATTTCCATGTCTTCATCCTCGATTTAATATGAGGCTCTGCTTTCAAACCTGAGTTAGCAAGATTTTCATCTAGTAATTGTTGCATTGCCTTCAAATAATCGGGTTTGAATCCGTTGTCGGCGCCACCATACTTTCTAGATACATGTAACTCCAACAATGCTTCAATTAACTTTGCATCATCTTCAGTAGTCTATGTGTGTTTGTTTCACCCTGCCATGTCTACAAAAGAAATTACATAATAGATGCTTGAAATAGTAATTCAACGTAACCAGTTAAGTTTGGTGCTTGAAACAATAATTCAACTTAATAGGGTAAGTTTGGGGTTGTCTAACTCAATCAAAACTTAACCAATTAAGCTATTTTTGATGTTAAAATATAGACAAGACAGATGAGTACAATTTCCAAAGAAAATTGTATCATTCTGACTTGTATGAAGTTTTTATGATGGTTCAAAGTTGGAAATTTTTTATTAAAAGTGTTGAAATATCATACAACAATCATAATAGCCCATGTTTGTGGCTAAATAACTCAACCAAAACTTAACCATTTAAGCTATTTTTTTATTCTAAAATGTAGACAAGACAAAGGAGTACAATTTGAAAAAAACGCATCATTCCGAGCTTGTATGAAGCTTTTATGATGGTTCAAAGTTGGACAAAATTTATAAAAAAATGTTCAAAATATCATACAACAATCATAACAGCCCATGTTTGTGGTTGTATACTCAACCAAAACTTAACCAATAAAGTTGTTTTTCGATTCTGAAATGTAGAGAAGATAGAGAAGTATAGTTTGATAAAAAAATCACATCATTCCGAGCTTTCATGAAGCTTTTATGATGGTTCAAAGTTGGACGAAATTTATAAAAAGTGTTGAAATATCATACAACAATCATAATAGCCCTGTTTGTGCTGTATAATTCAACAAAAACTTAGCCAATTAAGCTGTTTTTTTCTAAAACATAGAAAAGATAGAAGATTACAGTTTGATAAAAAAAAAACCCATCATTCCGAACTTATATGAAGCTTTTATGATGGTTCAAAGTTGGACAAAATATCTAAGAAGTGTTGAATAGTTAAAAAAAATCATAATAGCCCCTATTTAGGGTTGTATAACTCAGCTAAAACTTAACCAATTTAGCTATGTTTTTATCCTAACATGTAGACAAGACAGAGGGCAACCATCTCGGAAAAAAAATGCCCCATTCCGAGATCGTATGCATACTTTAAGATGGTTTAAATTTGGACAAAATTTCAAATTTATTTATGTGAAACGTATTAAGAATACAATTTGCACAACAAAATTGTGACTGGCTTTTTTTATAATTTGGTCCCCTAATTGCCATTCCAATTGCAGGATTAATATATTGAAAAACATAATTCATGAATTTCAATTCAAAAGCATAACTGAAAAACAAAATGATAGATACATAGTCGATATGTGGTTTTTTAGGTTAGTGTCAATCAAACAGAGCCGACTATGAGTCGTTGAAAAATAAAGAAAAAATTTAATCTACACATAATCATAGAAAAATTAAAACTGAATAGTGTAGTCATACCTTCGATTGGAATAACTTGATGCCAAAATCAACCAAATAGGAGCTGCAAAGAACTGACTGAAGCATGAATCGATCAACACAAATCGTATACGACATATGTAGGGCTACTGGGAATATTGTTTATCACTTACGAGAGCCGACTGCATGAAAATCCAATGACATCGTTTCAAAAATCAGGATCTGCATCTAACGGGAATTGAATGGGGGTAAATGATTTCTCCACTTTTTTTTATTCTCGAGCCATGACCCTTTTCTTTTCTTTTCTTTTCTCTCTTAAAAATAGGGAATTGTTTTGATGGAAAAGGAATTGGTTTATTTTTCAACGCCATAGTTTTTTCATTAACCAAACAAGAGAAAGAGAATCAATTCCTTTTTCCTTAGTTTTATTTTACTGTACCAAACACCCTCTAAGTATTGGTCACTATTATATGTAAAGGTGACCGGTAAAGTCAATATTCGGAGCAGCGTGTTGCTGTAGTTATTTTGTCTGTCCATGAGGTGAGTCTTCTAATTGTATCCATGGGTCGAAGGCAACAATGTTGTCCCATTATCCAGTATGTAGAATGTAAGATGTTGTGTGAAGTATATGTTTGTATGATTGGGTTGAAATATACCCCAAGTCGACGCCCACTATTGCACGTTCGTGTTGAAGTATACACTAGGGTGAGGCCCACTATTGCATGTTAATATTGAAATACACACCAGGGCGGGGCCTATTATTACATGCTCGACTTAAAATAAACCCTAAGGCGGAGCCCACTATTATTTGATCAGGTTGAAATATACCCCAAGGAGAGGCCTCTTGATGGGGTCCATATTTGCTTATTGGGTTGGAATATACCCCAAGTTTAAGCCTAATTATAGGTTTAGTATGTGGTACTTTGGGGAAACTCACTAAGTCTTCTGCACTTACATACACCCATACCTATATATTATGATTTGTATGCTTGATTTGAGAATTGCATGCTAGATTAGGGCTAAGGATACCTTTACGAATTATATAATAGAATTGTCTGATTTGTTTGATGCCTTATAGCCTAGGAGGATTGGATGCTACGTATTATTTGGAATTAATATGGACTCAATTAACTGCTAAGTGTATACTTTAAAAGTTGTATAAGATTATAATCGTATAGCCCAAGAATGATCAATTTAGCCTTATTTCATGTTCCTTGATTGGTTGTGGAATTAGGTGTGACAACCCGAAATTTGCATTATGTACAAACTATATCACTTCAATAGAAGGTATAGCAGTCACAATTAATTTTCAGACTTTTTCGGTAAGTTTAGGAAATTCAGGGTTTACACTTCAGGAAATATCAGGAGAGTGGGTGCACTAGGGTTTTGTGCAACACTGTTATTCCAACACTCTATTATATTAGAGATCATTTCAGGAATAACAATATTTTTAGCCAAAAATATCTCAGGACTATAAATAGAATTCTGAACGAAATTCATTCATTATTCGCATTTTCGACTAGAGAAAAGCCATTTTCTCTCTCACGGATCTCCGGGTTTTTATACCAAAACATGAGTAACTCTTTCTAGTAATGTTAGAAAGATTTATATGTGTTCATAACATGATTTAGAAGGCTAAATCACTAGATTTAGGAGTTTACTCCCCAAGGTGTTGTTGGACGGTAAACTCTCGAATTCATGCTTAAAATGGTACTTTTAAGGCACCTAAGGCCTTAGACTATTACCTAGACTTGTTCCCAATAAATCAAGGGCCTTAAACACAACCAAATCACCTTACAAAGTGAATTTATAGCCATGACATGGTTCATGGTCCGTAAACTCATTAAAGGGGCACCAAAGTGTGTTAAGGGTCTTCATATGCTTGAAATAAAAGCCTAGAACCTATACCGCTTGTCCATGAGACTTGAAATCATCCAAAACACCCATCCTTAAGAGTTTACAGCCGTAAACTCTAAGGGAAATGGTCTTAGGGCTGTAAACTCCTCAAAGGAGTGTTTCTAGGTCTTAAACCCTTCCAAGAATTTAACCACCAAGTTGGAATAATTCTAGGAATCATTTGGAACTTCAAAACACACAATACCCCCATGGTTGGGAGTTTACGGCCGTAAACTCAAGAGTTTCCAACCGAAACTCCATGTGTGATGGTATTTGGAGAGTAAACACATATATGGGATCCCTTGTAACCTTAAACACAAGTGCCTTGTCCCACAATTGCTTAGATGAAATCCTTAGGGATTAAAACACTTATATAAAGTGTTTATTATGTTCTAGGATGTATTAACATTATCAATTAGTACTTTAAGACTAATTGAGTGCATATATGTGTGATTATATGTTCATTAGGATCGTAGTGTGTGTACAAGTCCTCACTTGACACCTAACAATCCTACACCGTCCAGTTCATCCAAATCACTATCTATAGGTGAGTTCATACCCCTAATCAATGTTTGAAATGATTTTAAATGATTTAATGGGGGGGGGGGGGAATACAAGTAGAAAACAACATGTTATTAAATCATCTATATGTATTTTATAACTGTGTTTTCATTTAACAGATTTCACATACTACAAAATGTGATGCATGAAATGCTTTTCTATCTTTAAAATACTTTGTTATCAAATGTATTACTTTCGAAATGTTTATCAGAATGACATCAAGTCACTTTATTGTTTGTTCAAAAACCCTTGGATGTCTTACAAAACCATTTTTACATTCTTGAACTAAACTATGCATGTACACTTATATTGTATATATGTACAAATGTTATAGTTTACATCTTTCATTTAGATTCCCACACCCTTGAGTAGTAAGAGTGTATAAACCTAGTTGATCAACCAATTTCATTTCACTAAATTATCATAGGGATAATTTGAAGTTATCAAACATTATTCCTATTACAAGGAATCACACAAGAGTCAGTTCATTCATGAGTCTATGCCAGTACATTACCTGATACATGAGTACATATACATATGCTTACCTGATACATGAACATGTTTACATATACTTACCTGATACATGAACACACATATATGAATACCATACATGAACACTGTTACATAGATGCATTATCCTGTATTCACTTACTTGGATACTTGTACTTAGAACTACGAGGATGATTTATTAGTACTTTCTGTGTAAATTATCTTTCCTATCCCGGTTCAATGGGATATCTCGGTGGGACTTACCATTCTGAACCCCACTGATTAGCACCAGTGGTCAATGACCATCTACGGAGGTCTAAGGTTACTATTTATATTAGGAAGATCGATAACCTGGGCTAACCCCTCCACCCACATGCTGCTGCTACAGAGGACAAGTGGACAATCTTCGATTGTTCATAAGGGTATACTTTTCTCTTATTGCGATGTTGTGTTACTCCTAGTACCCAACGATGACACTTACATTATTACTTTCTGGACAATCTTCGGATGTTCATTAGGTTGCATTTTTCACTTAACGCGATGTTGTGTTAGTCCTAGTACCCAGTGACAACACTTACAGTAGTACATTTTCCTGTTTTCTTTATTTTTGTGATTCTTTCACA